TCATGCCCTCAGGCATAGCTAAGTGAGTGTCCCTGAGCCCCCTCTCAGGAGAGGTGGGAGTGTCCCCTAACCCAGAGGGGAGTTGAAGTAGGTGGACTGGACACTCCCAAGTCCTCACACCCCAGCACCCCACCACTGATCTAAGAAACCTTTCAGGAGCTAATCTGGTATGTGTCCTGCGTGGGAACAAGACGCTGGGCAAGATGGTCTGCAGTGCGTTATCATCTGGGCTTTGGGGTGATGGGTTGCTGATGTTTGCTCCTGGAGAGTTAGCTGCAGAGACCCAGGGGTGAAGGTGGCCCTGAGGATGTCTCCACCTGCCCTTCTCCACTCAGGGTCCACTCTCCCTGCTGTGTTGGAGGAAAGACCACCAACATGACAAAGGCATAACTGAGTCTCAGGAGAGAGCAATTCCAGGCCCCAATCCCACCCCACATTCCAGAGCTGACCAGTAGAGTCGGCACTCGGAGTTTAATGAGTAATCGCTGAGCAAAGGTTTAATTATATGATTGGGCTTTTGTCTGTTATTTGATTGTTTCTCTTACTGGAGGAGCAGGTGTGTGGTGTTATTAGATGACGGGAGGTGGGGCTGATTGGTGACAGCACTTGGTGCTGAGCTGGACAGAGAATTAGGCCTGACTCTGCCCCTGGGAACTTGGCCTCAAATGCTTACAGGCCTGTTAGTCTGTGGGGTAGCCTCTCAAATGTTCACGTGCACCTGAATATCCGGGGTCTTTAATAAAACACAGCTTCTCTGTTGGGTAATCCATCAATTTATTAAGTCTCATAATGACCTTAAATTAATAGCTCATTTTGTAGATGAACATGGCTCAGAGAGGTGGCCTACAGTCTGGCACGGCCTGAGATTACACATTTCTGAGATCCCAGGTGATATAGATGCTGTTGATTCAGGACTACACTGGGAAGCAGGCCTCTTGCAGGCAAACTAGTTATTCCTTCCTTAGTTTTTAATAGGAAATGTATTCATAAGATTTGAAATTAAAAAAAAAATTCCCCCCAACCTTCCCCAAATAACCACTTTCAGTAGTTTTTTTGTTTGTTTTGTTTTAGTGGTTTTAAGGATTGAGCTCAGGGATGCTCTGCCCTGAGCTAAATCCCCAGCCCTTTCTGTTTTATTTTATTTTTCTACTACCAGGGATTGAACCCAGCTAGGAACACTTAACCACTGAGCCATATCTCCAGCCCTTTTTATTTTTTATTTTGAGACAGGGTCTTGCTAAATTGCTTAAGGCCTCACTAAATTGTTGAGGCTGGCTTTGAACTATACAATCCTTCTGCCTCAGCCTCTTGAGCCTCTGGGATTACAGGTGTGCACCACTGTGCCCCACCCTCAGCCCTTAAAAGCAGGGTCTCACTATGTTGCTGAGGTTGGCCTCAAACTTGCCAACCTCCTGTCTCAGCCTCCTCAGTCCATAGAATTATAGGTGTGTACCACGGTACTCAGCCACTTTTATTAGTTTATCTTTCCAAAGTTTCTCTGTGCCAAAACAAGTAAATAAGACCAAATAAGACAGCACATACCCTGCCCCACCTCCTGCCCTTACACAAATGGCAGGACACTGCTATACACATGGTTTGGTTAACAGTTTATCAGTTCATCATGGAGATAACTGACTCAGTTGGCTGACTCATCTATTTTTAGACTTACATTATTATTCCATCCTGTGAATGTGCCACAGCTTATTTAACCAGCCACCTCTTGGTGGACATTTGGTTCTTTATGATGTTTCCAGCTGTCTTTCTTAGTCCCCCCATACCCTGGGCAACCTTGCTGGGACCTCCTCCCCACCCCCAATTCCCAAGCCCCCGAAGACAACTGCAGCAAGCCCTCCCCTGATCCTGCAGCCCACCCTGCTTGCTCTTATCTCCCGAGGCTTGTTCTATAGTCAGTCTCCTCCTCCTTTTTCCCCTCCTCATTTACCTGCCCACTCTCCATCTTTCTATGACTCTCTGCTTGTCTTACCAAACAGACTGCAGCAACTGGAACCCAGGAACCAGGTCTCCGATTCCTGCGGCTTCTTTCCAACCCAGAGCTGTTCACACAGTTGTTTTCAAGAATATTAATTCTACTAGGATTAGAGGTTTACATCTCTAATCCCAGCAGTTTGGGAGGCTGAGGCAGGGGAATCGAAGAGTCAAAGCTAGCCTCAGCCACTTAGCGAGGCTCTAAGCAACTTAGCAAGACCCCGTCTCTAAATAAAATACAAAAAAAGTGCAGGGGATGTAGTTCAGTGGTTAAGTGCCTCTGGAATATTAGTTATCCAGTGGAAGTCGCATATGAATGGAGCCACTTGCCCACGACTCTACTGGGCCTGGTGTGGGGTGTAAGAGCTCAGGAGCTACCTGGGGTGGGAGGGACCTCATGCCTCAGGGTTTCCAAAAAAAAAAAAAAAAAGAAAAGAAAGAGAGAGAGAGAGAGAGAGAGAGAGAGAGACCCTTTCTGGTGCTTGAGTGTCTAGGGCACTTGGGTGGGTTGTGATAACCAGGGCATCTAGGGTTCTTTGTGCCCTGCTGATGTGGGCAATGGGAGGAACCATGATGTGGAGACAGAAGGTGGATGGATATATGCACAGGCGCTAGGATGGGCTCTTTCCTTCCTCATTAACATCCTTGTCATCCTTCATTTGCCAGCTCCAGTCTCAATTATTCTAAGAAGCCTTCCTGGGCTACTCCAGCCCGCGCTGACCTCCCCACCTCCCCACCTCGGAGTTCCTGCTGCATGCATTAGTGACAGCAATCACAGTCCTCTACTTAGTCGTCCACACTCTGCCACCTGGAATCTCATAAACCTTGTCTTCCCAGTGTGACTCCAAGATCTTCTGTGATAGAAACGAGACTGATTATCTCCTTATATCCCCAGGTCCCCCACCCCCACCCCAGTGTAGCACTAGGTCACTGGGAACTCTTCCACAGAGATTTCCCGAATGGACTGGGATGGTTTCCAGGACTGCTGTGGTGGTGGTGGGGGGGGCGGGACAGAGTTGACCACAGATGTGTGTCTGACTAAAATACACATGTATGTCAGTTTTTTGTTATGTGACAAAATACCTGAAAAAAAACCAAAAAACACTTTAAAGGAGGAAAAAAAATATTTTGGCTCGTGGTTTCAGAGGTTTCAGTGCCTGGTTGGCTGGCTCCGTTGCTGTGGGCCTGTGGTGGGACAGAGCATTGAGGTGGAAGAGCATGGTAGAGGAAAGCTACTTACCTCAGGGCCATCAGGAAGCAGAGGAAGAGGGCCCAGGGAGGTTCCCAAGGGCAAGCTCCCAAGGACCCACTCCCTTCAACTAGATCTCACTTCCTACAGTTTCTAACCCCTTCCAATAACCCATTCAAACTATGAATCCATCAATGGATTAATCCCCTGAGGAAGTGAGAGCCCATATCCAGTCACCTTCCAAAGGTCCTACCTCTGAACACTGCTGTATTGGGGACCAAGCCTTCAGCACATCAACCTTTAGGGACATTCCAGATCCAAGCTATAATAACAGGTGTTTTCTTTCTTTCTTTTTTTAATATTTATTTTCTAGTTGTAGTTGGACACAATACCTTTATTTTATTTATTTATTTTTATGTGGTGCTGAGGATCGAACCCAGGGCCTCACACGTGCTAGGCGAGCACTCTACCACTGAGCCACAACCTCAGCCCAGGTGTTTTCGAAATGCTACTGTCCCCTTGATCTGTTCCTTGGTCCCTTCCCACCTTGTACCTGGAAGACAATAACAACCACAAGCCCTGAAGGCCAGGCTCATTTGGTCTCTTGATGCTGAAGAAAGTGAAGGGGACTTTTCAGAAACGTCACTGTCATGAAAGACAACTGAGGTGTTAAAGCAACGAGACAAGCAAAGTTAATATGTGAATCTTGTCTGGACTGTGGATTGGAAAAAAAAGATAAACGAAAATGACATTTGGGGCACAATGGGGAAATTATTACTGTGGAGTATTAGATGACAATAGGGTATCAACATCAACGTTAGGTTTCCTGAGGGTGACAGAGGTTCGATCGTATAAGATAATGTTCTTATTCTTAGGCAACGTATGCTGAAGTATTAGGGAAGGAATTTTGCAAAATGAAAAGGAGAAGACAAAATGCTGTTGGTTCACTACTTGGGGGAAGTGAGGGAATGTGGCCGTGGGCTATCCTCAGGGGAAACAGATGGCCGTGAGACTTATGGCTCCCTCCAGGTCTCCTGCCCCTACTGCCCAGAAAACAGCATGCCAACCCCTTGGCCTGACTCCCTCTCTCAGCATCTTTCACACAGTCTCCCAGCTCCTAATTTGATGGGAACTTCTCCAGTGGACAGCCACCTTGACTTGGCCAGGATGGCATACCAAGTGCTTTAAAGGACCACTGCTTGTCTTCCTGGAGGGTGAACTGAATTCTAAAGGGATTCTATCTATCTTTGGTATTTCCCTAACTCTATGGGGAAAAAACATTTGATGTCCACAAAATGCCAAGAGTTAGTTCTCCTACCCTGTTTTTGGAGCCCTGTTGATAAGGGTATTTGCCATCTTTGTCACTAGATTGGAATACCAGGTTGCTGTTTTAGTTTTTCTGTGCTTTCTTTTTTCTTCTGGGCACGTCCTTGCATCATAAAAGCCCACATTTTTAAGGACCTGTAGGATGCTTTGACTTGCTAGCTTTAGCCAGGCGCGTGCCTTCTGTTGGATGCAAGAGTTATTTCCCCAAAAGAGCATTCTGACCTGGTCACCAAGCGCCTTCAGAAGTAGGGAATTCGCTGGCAGCCTTCGCAGCCTTGGCTTCCCCAGAGAGAGGGAAGAGGCGTGGAGGAGGCGGCCCAGGAGGGAACCTGGGGAGGGGGCGGCTCTTCTCCGAGGCAGGGCGTGGGCTGGGCGAGGTCCCCAGCCCACCCGGGCCGTGCCTACAATGGCCTGTTGTGGAAGGAGGCCGGGAAGGAATGTGGCCCGGGGAGTTGGGCGGCGGGGCGGCTGCTGCGGTGGCGGCCGCGGGGCGGGGCCGGCTCTGAGCCGCAGCCTCTTACCTGTGCAGGTAGCTCGCATTTCCAGGAGAGCGGCGGCGCCCGCAGCACCTGTCGCCCGGTGCGCGGGCCGGGAGGACGGCGGGGGACATGGCCTAGTAGAGTCCCCTGGGGAGACCTTGCGGAGTTCAGTCCGGGACAGGGCAGGGCGAGGGAGGGCAGGTCCTTCCCCGGAGCTCGCGTGGCCTGCGGCAGCATGAAAAAGAACCAGACGGTGCAGGGCACCTTCAGCAAGCTCTTCGGGAAGAAGCACGCCAACCCCGCCGCCACCTCCCTCTACGCCACCAACCCCCCGTGGATTTTCACCCAAGAAGCCCCGGAGGAGGGGACCAGGGATTTTGGTAAGTGATTCCTGGGGACAGAGAGGGACACAGGCGAGTGGCCCGCAGCGCTGCCTCCCGCCGGTTCCCGCTCCTCCGAGAGCTGGGAAGGCGGGAGCCGGCCGGGCGCAGGGGAAGGGACACGTTGGAACCTGCGGCTGGCCGAGGGGGAGCTGCTGGGAAGAGGAAGCGCGCACCGGGAATCAGGGAAAGAGCCCCGCGGGAGAGAGGAGCGGGGAAGGAAGGGACCCGCCGCAGAGGGGACAACTTTGCAGCGCCACTTTGGCCCCAGGCCCTCCTTCGAGGTGTTTTTTTGTTTGTTTTGTGTTTTTCCTCTCCTTGGCGGAGCTCGTGTTTGCAGTTACTGTTGCCAAAAAGATTTCCTGAGGTTTGTGGGGTCTTCCCCATCCCCCACCCCCAAATCCACATTCCCTCTGAGTCACAATGTTCCTCCTATCTAGGGCTCCTCCTTTCCACTTCCTCCATCCTCCCTCCCCAGCTCCTGTACTGCCTCTCCTGGCCCAGAGTGTCCACCAGGCAGAGAGAGGGGCTGCCCTCTGGGTGACCACATGTTTGGCTTTGTGTAGGTGAAGCCTGGGAAAAATCAACATTGGCCACTGCTCACAGGTTACCAGCCCATTTGTGACACCAAGTTATTTATTGGCTCTTGCCAGGTCAACCTGAGGCCTAGGTTGTCTGTGGGCTCAGACTGAGGAGCCAGAGATGCGGCAGTGGAGGCCTGACCCCAGTTGTGGCTGGTCCCTGAATCAGGGTGGTGTGGCTTTGTAGGCCATATCAGCGCAGCCTCCCTTCTGGCTGTGGGTCACCTTGTTATGAAGTTTGTACCCTCTACAACTGGAGGGAAGTCCGAGGATAGGGACAAGAATTTGTTTCTTATGTATGATTTGTGGATCTGGGTCCAGGGAAGGGGACAAAACAGGGTCACCCATCATCTCCTTAGCTTCACCATAACCACGCTATCTTCACTGACCCTTATGACCACTGTGTGGGGCCCTTAGAGGATCTCACCAGCCTGGGCCCCTGCTATGGATTCAGTTCAACCCCCAGGGTCAAGATATAAGGCAGGGTGGACAGGAGCTGGGGATCCCTGGCCGGAGGATCTCAGATCAGTGGGTGAACAGAGCTAACTGTGGGTCTGTAAGGAATTCTTAAGTGCATGCAGCACAGAAAAAAAAAAAGAGGTAGCTTCTGACTGAATCGAGCATTTGAGTGAGAAGGAAGAACTTCCTGGCATGAGGAAGGCCAGGGTGAGTTGGAGCCATGGCTTACAAACTTACAGAGACTGTGTGCTGGCCTATGTCACTCTGTGAGGCCTAAACAGCTCTCCTGGCCTGAATGAAGACATTCCATAGCAAACATTTATCGATCCATTCTTAGGTACAAGGTCCCATCCTGATACCATTCTGTTGCGTGGTTGGCATGGTGAGGCACACCATGCTATTCCAGTAACTTGGGAGGCTGAGGCAAGAGGATTACATATTTGAGGCCAGTCTCAGCAACTTAGTGAGACCCTGCCTCACAATGAAAATGAAGAAGGACTGGGAGCATAGCCCCTGGGTTAAATCTCCAGTTCCACAACAAATAAACAAACAAAAACAGTAAAATTGTTCTGTCATTGGTTGGTTGACTTTTCCTCTAGAGTCAGGTACTATTATTAGCATTCCTGTTTGACAGATTGAAGACAGGCACAGGGAGGTTATGTAACATACCCAAGATCACATATCTTTAAATGGTGGAGCCAGGATCTTCCTAAGTACAATTCAATGATTTCCCCCCCCCCCCATCAGGGATTGAACCCAGGGGCGCTCAACCACTGAGCCACATCTCTAGCCCTTTTTATATTTTGAGGTAGGGTCTTTTAAGTTGGTTAGGGCCTCACTAAGTTAATGAGACTGGCTTTGGGCTCCTTTGATCCTCCTGCCTCAGCCTTCCACGCTGCTGGGGTTACAGGCATGCGCCACCAAGCCTGACTCAATTCAATGATTTTTAGTAGAGTCCTGTAACTACCACCACAATGCAGTTTGAGAACGCTGCCCTTACCCCAGAGGCTTCCTTGTAAGGCAGAGGAACCTAGGCAGAGGCCATACTCTTAGCCAGCTTGCTGACCTCCCTCTATGGAAGAAGGTTTGAACTTGACCTGAGGGGCATCTGCCTCAAGAATACCCCGCCACACACTTATCCCCCACTGGGAGACCTCAGAGGGGCCTCTGGGGTACTTCCTCTCCATTTTTCCCTGGGCTGAGTTGTCCACGGGTGGGAGACTCCAATGAGAGAAGAGGGACGTGGTGCACCTCCCGCCAGCTGCTGCCTTCACCCGTCTGGGCAGGGCTGGAGCCTAGGGGACTGCTCCTCCCTGTCCCCAGGGCAAGGCTGAGTCTCCAGCTGACTCAGCCAGGCGAGCCTGCACATGGTGGGGTGGGAAACCGGGAACCGGGAAGGCCCAGCAGGCCGGCTCCCCGTGTTGTGGCTGTTCCCTGGGATGCCAGCTGGAACAGCAGAAGCTTTCCTCCTTGTACTTGGAGTTAGGGAGGGGAGGGACTGGAGTTAGGGATTCTGGGATGGGATGGAAATGCCAATCCTGCCTTAGGCTTCTGCCTTTGTCAATAATGTGGGGCTAGCCCCACTCTGAATCTCAGTTTTTCTTCTCTTCAATGGGGATGGTGTCCAGATCACCTAGAGGAGGGCTGCCCGAGGCCGTGTATGTGACAGCTTCAAAGAGCACTAAAAAGAAAATTGCCACAGTGTCCAAGTCGAGTCCCTGCCAGAGATTTTATGGCCCACAAAGCCTGAATAGTTACTGCTGCCCTTTACAGATTTGCCAGTCCTGCTCTAAAAGGCGATTCCTATTATCAGGTCATTCCCCGCTTTGAGCCCTGCCTGCCCCTGTCTGCTTCAGCCCCTCTTCCTGACATGGCTGTTTGCCAGAAAAAGTCGGCATGAGGAGGCCATCTTCGGGTTTCAGAAGGGCAGCGGTTTGAGTTCCATAGGGATCCTGAATCCTCCCAGGCCTGGAATGAGATGTCCCCGGTGTCCAGCTCTTGGAAAAGAGGTGGAGAACGAAGTGGGGACATCACCATGGACGTGTATAGGGGAATTAAGGAGTAACTGCTTGGTGTGTGGCTACAGCTGTGTAACAATCTGTTTGCACAAGGGTAGGCTGGGTGCCGCAGGTAAAATGCAAACAGTCATGTGAAGGTGGTGAGGGCTACATTTTCCTTTAAAGAACTTCCCTAACATGTGTTCCAGTAATTTGAAGGACTTCTTGCTGAAAGCAATTGCAATTGTAATTAAGCCTTCTGCCCTCCCCCCAGCCCAAACAGGGGCCTTGAAAGGACACACAGTTGTCCTTTAAGTGCATGAGAAAGCAGAGATGTGGATCTTTGCAAATCCCTGATAGGGGACTGAGCTGCTGCGGAGACGACAAAGCCTGTGGCTCTGCACTGCTCCCTGGGCTTTTGGATTCATTGAGGATCTTTATCTCTGGTCGCTGCTTGGCACCCCAGCCATGGGACACCCTTGTTGGCTGGGGTACTCTGTTCGTTGCCCTCTTTTATCCAATGGAAAGCACCTTGCCACAACCACTAGGACTCTTATTTGAAATGCAGATTCCTGGGGTCTCACCTCAGTCACACAAGTCAGAATCATGGGCCCAGGCTCTAGATCTTTAACCAGCTCCCAGGTGACTCTCCTGTGTAGAATGATTTGAGACTCCCAGGCTTTCCTTCCCACATGGAACTAGGCTGTTCTCCTCCTTTGACTCCCTGCAGTGTATACAGTAGGTTGAAAATAAATGTGTATGGGATGTGGCCAGCTCCTTATCAGGAAAACTCAGTGTTCCCTAGAGTGGCCACTGGTTCTGGCATTCCTGTTCCTGAGGTCTCCTGATTTTGTAGCTCAGGCCAGGCTAAAGGCTGGGAAACCATGAACCCCCAGAGCTGAGTCCCTATTTCCTGCTAGGGCTGAGCTAGCACCAGCTTCAGAAGGCTGACCTGTGCCTTACAGGGGTGTAAAGGAGACGTTTGTTTACTCTTGTCCCCTGGAGGTGTGCTGTCGTTTGCCAGTGGTTCAGTGTACACACCACACACACACACACACACACACACACACACACACACACACACACACACGCCTTCACCAATGCCCCATTACATGAGCACCCCTCACTGCCATAGCTCACGTCCAAAACGCAGGCCCTCCCTTGACCCTGCAGACCAGCTACACGGTGCCCCTTCCCTCCTGGCCAATCATTCTTACTGGTGACCATTCCCTGAACCAGGCTCTGTGCTAAGAGCCACCTACCCTCTCAACAGAGGAACACAGGTTGGTTCAGTGGCTCAAAGTCCTTGCTCTGCGGGCAGCTCAGACATCAAAGAGAAAACAACGTCCTGGTATTTGCTAAGATCAGATTCTGATTTTGTGGGACAAGGTGGGGAGAGTTTCTAGCAAGTTCCAGGTAAAGTCATCCTGCTGTTGTACTGAGCAGCAAATCCTAGCCAGGAAATTGAGGGCCCTGTTTGCTGTGCCCTTCCCCCTTCAGCCCCCACACTGGGGGTCCTTTGAGCTGCCTGCTCCAGGGCTCCTCCCCTTCAGTTCCCTCCTCCTCTGTTCTGTGGCTCCTCACCCCAGAGCCCCTCCCCCCTAGCCTAACCTTTAGTGTCCCCTCTGTCCTTGGACAAAGGCCTCGCTCGGTACCCTGGTCAGGCCTGCTGGGGCTTGCTGGGACAAACTAGCCTTTTCAGGTTTCTGTCATGTGGACCTGCTAATTAGCAAGGAAGGGCCTCATTAACTCATTTGAGGGTTACATTCACATGGGGCCACCCGCTCCTGCTTCCCGAAGGCAGAGGCTCCCCTAGTGGTGGAGGACAGGATGCCCCACCTTGTCCCTCACCAGTACTCCACTGTGCCTCTACAGTAAGGTAGAGTCGGGGGAGGTCTGTTCTGGGGTGCTGGGTTACCCTGGGTCAAGACAGCAAACTCTCCAAGTTACAGCCCCACCCCTC